TTATTACCAAAGTACTTCTAGTATACTTTTTAGAAATATATTAAAATGCAATTCAATATATTTTTATTGCACTTCAAATAAGCATGTTGGGAATACAAATGTATTATAAACATACTACTTGAATTTCAAGCATATTTTTAATACATTTAATACTACGTCTTTTTCACTTGGGATATCATACATCTCACAAGTTATTTTGCCAAAAAATTACATGAAATCAAATTCAAGATTATTTGGGCTAGAAGTGGGTTACACATAGCCGGACTATATCGGGTCTATACTTAGCCGAGACGTTGAAATGACGGCTATTGCTTGCTGCGCATCTATAAAATTTTCACTGATAGCCCAAATTTTGCCTTGTTTTAGCCTAGACATCAGGGGTGTGTTTGAACGGCTAATAGATATATTTTAAATGTAAAATTGCTTGCTGGGATATTGAGCAGATACATTACAGAATCCCCATCAGAGAACAGTGAAAAACTGAAGTGAGATCTGCAGAATAACTCTTGAAGTGACTGAAGCAAGAAATTGGTGATCTGAGAATAAGAATCAAATTTTACATAATCACATTAATTCCTTAAAGGTAACAGAACTCTTGAACACAGTACAGGACTTTAGAATGTTTTACATGCAAGTTACTATTATTACTGGAACTAAGAATGATTAAGGTGATTGGAATGTTAAGAATTCTTCCCCAAACCAGTTCAGCTCAAACTCCACCCTGCAGCCGATTAAAAGGATTTCATTACTGATGTCAATCACAGTGCTGATTGCCTACACAGTTCTACAACTAATTTAATTTTGGATTTAATCCAGTGCATCATTGCAATACATCATGAAAAAGTGTGGGGGGTAAATTTGTGTTTCATTCAATTTTTTATTTACATTTAATGTTTTATGCCCATGTCAGGCAGAAGTTCTGACATAAAAAGTTATGACCAGTCTTGCAGGAAAAAAAATTAGATGACTAACTTTTAAGACTTGTCTAAGCAGTCACACCGGACGTACCTGTTTTGCACACCTCTCTTAAACACCACCTATATAAGCTGTTCATTTCAGAGAAAACAAAACCTAAGTGTATAAGCTGATGCATGTTTCTCTTTGTCTGTGTTTCTGTACACTGAAATGACAGAAGCCAGTATTTCAGTGGCTCAGGATGAGTTCAGCTGTTCAATCTGTCTGGATCTACTGAAGGATCCAGTGACCATCCCCTGTGGACACAGTTACTGTATGAACTGCATTACAGACTGCTGGAATGGTCAGAGGAGAGTTTACAGCTGCCCTCAGTGCAGACAGACCTTCAGTCCAAGACCTGCTTTAAACAAGAGTGTGATGCTGGCTGAAATGGTGGAGAAACTGAAGAAGACAAAAGTCCAAACAGCTCAGGCTCTCCGTTATGCTGGACATGGAGATGTGGAGTGTGACATTTGTACTGGGAGAAAATATAAAGCTGTCAAGTCCTGTTTGATGTGTCTAGAATCTTATTGTCAAACTCACTTTGAGCGCCATGAGGAATTTCACACAGGTAGGCGACACAAACTAATCGATGCTACTGGACGACTGCAGCAGATGATCTGCTCTAAACATAACAAACAACTAGAAATCTTCTGTCGTACTGACCAGCACTGCATCTGTTATCTGTGTACGATGGATGGACATAGAAATCATGACACTGTAGCAGCTGTAGTTGAGAGGACAGAGAAACAGGTATGACCTAAACCATATGCTTTTGAAATGAAAGTAAATGAAAAATATTGGATTGTATGCCATTATTAGGGGTTCAAGCACGTAGTGCTGAAACCCTATTGTAATTGTTAGGATTTTTATTATTATTATTATTATTCCCTAAAACTGATCGTGCAGCCCAAACCGTAAGGCCTAGAGAGCTGAAAATTGGTCAGATTGTAGTAGTCCGAGCTTCTTGTCAGATCCAAAGACTCACCGCAATCGGCCAATAGGGGGCGCTACAGTGATCAAAAACGCAAAAGCCCTCATAACTCCTACACCGTTTGTCGTAGACTCAAGTGTCTTATATCATTGGATTCCTTGGATCAATCAAAATAAAATGGCTATCCGATTTCATTTTCGTCTATAAAAATGTTCCGCCATTTTGAATTTTGTCAGAAACCTACTTTTGCGAACTAGTCCTTTTCAACTCACCGTCACTTAGGGACGCAAAAACGTCTGTTAGGGATGGGGCCATTTTTAGTAAAATGGCTATAACTCCTGAACGGAATGAGATCTCTTCACCAAACTCGGTACACATGTGTGCAAGCTCAATATTTGGTCAAATAAAAAAAAATTGATCGGTGGGCATGTTCGACTAAAGGTCTAAAGGTCTGTGAGAATTTTGAAAGAAAACGGCCACTAGTTGGCGCTAATGAATTTGTTGGCTCTGTAATCACATGGTGTTTCACAAAATATGCATATCATTTGATAGACCTCCTTATAATGCACAACTTTGCCTCAAGAACCATTGCTGTCAGTCAAATCGTTCATTAATTATTCACAAATATGTTCAAAACCTTCTTTTGCAAACTAGTCCTAGGTTTTTCGCTCAATCTCGATCAAACCACTGCAGTGATATTCTCTGGACTCTTTAGATCAATAATTATAAAAAAAATGTTGAATTTTGTCCTTTGGTTATCTTTAACGGGGTAATTTAGAAAAGGGGTGTGGTCAAATATACCCATAAGCCTATAAAACCTAAACAAAATCTCAAAACTTTACGAAACTTGGTGAAACCATGTGTCAGATGACTCTTAACAAGCAAGCAAAGTTTCATGGAGATCGGGCCATAGATGGCGCTATAACAGTTAAAAAGACCTCAAAAACACAAGATTTGTATAGAAAATGACCTCAAATTGTATAACATGTTCATATATACACACAAACACTAGATCTTCATATCATATGATAGATCTCCTCATTCTGAACAACTTAGCCTCTGGGACTAATGCTGTCAATCAAATCGTTCATTAAATATTCTCAATTATGTTAAAAACCTACTTTTGCGAACTAGTCCTAGGTTTTTTGCTCAATCTTAATCAAACCACTGCAGCACAATTCTCTGGACTCTGTAGATTAATAATTATCAAAAAAAATGTATTTTGTCTTTTGATTAGCTATAACAGGGTCATTTATAAAAGGGGTGTAGCCACACATACCCAAAAGCCTATAAAACCTAAATGAAAACTCAAAACTTTACGAAACTTGGTGAAAACATGTGACAGAAGACACTTAACAAGCATGCGAAGTTTCATGGAGATCGGAGCATAGTTGGCGCTATAACAGTTGAAAAGGCCTCAAAAATACAATATTTGTATGGAAAATTACCTCAAATTCTAGATAATGTTCATATATTCACAAAAACACAAGATCTTCATATCGTATGATAGAACTCCTCATTCTAAACAACTTTACCTCTGTGACCAATGTTGTCAATAAAACTGTTAATTAAATATGTGAGATTATTTAAAACACCTACTTTTGTGAACTAGTCATAGATTTTAAACTCAAAATCAATAAAATCAGTGCAGTACTATTCTCTAGACTCTCTAGATCAATCATTATTAAAACATTTTTGAACATTTGCATTTTTACAACTATAAACCAGTCATTTTATAATATGTTCTTTAGCAGCGGAAGACCACTAATGGGCTCATTAAATGCCCTAAAACAGTACTGTTCATCGGGTTGCCTGTGGATTCATGCTAAGACATTATAAAATCACTGTTATAACATTTAAAATCACATTGAGTCAAATTTTACCATTTTGTTTATACAGACATATCAGTTTTTACAATTATGCCAGATTATGACTACAGTGAAACCTGAAAATTACATATTAACTCTTAAAAATAGAAGACTTACAAAACTTATTGCGTCACCTATCATTTATCTCAAATATCTATATCTGCCCAAAATTTGTGTGCATGTGTATGTGTGTGTGTGTGTATAATAAAAGTTTAGAATTTTTAAGATTTTTAATCTAATTCTTGTTATACTTATTCTTATGCATCTTATTCACCTTAAAGGCCTTAAAGTGCTTGAACCCCAGTAATTGCTGCTTGCAGCTATATTTATTATTATTATTATTTTATTTTATGGTTATCACTTTATTTGGTTTTCATACAGAGGAGTTTGGAGGAAAAGCAGAGGACGGTCCAGCAAATAATCCAGTACAGAGATAAGAGGCTTCAAGAGCTGAAAGAAAATATGAAGACATTTGAGGTGAGCTTTGAGAGGACGAGAAAATCACCTTAAATATAGTTTCAGGCTGATCTGAGTGAATGGTCTGTGTGTGTGTATTATAACAGTGCTCCGCGCAGCCAGCAGTGAAGGACGTTGAGAGGATCTTTTCTGAAATAATCCGCTATATTGAGAGTAGATGCTCAGAGATGACATCGCTGATCAGTTCTCAAAAGGGATGTGCAGTGGGTCGAACTGAAATATTTTTAAAAGAAGAGGAGCAGAAGACTGTTGATCTGAATAGGAGAGATGCTGAGCTGGAGAGGCTTTTACACACAGATGATCACATCTATTTCCTACAGGTAACTGAAAAACAAAACTGTAGTCATTAGCAACAATTTAAAATAAAAAGTTCACTTAAAGTACATAATTGAAAACCCAATGATTTAAAATATTTTAAGATCTTGTTTTGCATTTGCTAGAATGCAAAAGAGATGAACGCATCCAGCATAAATAAATAAACTGAACCAATTAGTAATGTTGCATTGCACAAGATAAGTTAATGGAGTCGTGACAAGAAACAACAACTTAATATTAGTAGTAAATTAGTAGCACTAATGTCTTTTCTGTATTTTTTCTTCTAGAGTTTCCAGTCTCTCTCTTCATCTCTTGAATCTTTAGATGGACGCATAGGTTTTACTTCTTTCTGTTCTTTTGATGGTGTGATAAAAACGGTTTCTGAACTAAAAGAGCAACTGGAGGATTTATGCAAAAAACAATTGCACATGATAACATCTGGTGCTGGTAAGTTAGAAAATAATAATGTATTTTTAGAATCATGTATGTTTTATGGTTTTGGCTAGAATAAACTCAACGCATATTCTAAAATAAATCTATATGAAAGGTATGTGCCAAACAGTGGAATAACATATATGTCTCTTTTCCTAAGCACATGTGGCTTATATCTCATATCCCTGCCTCATGGGAAGCGATGGCATAAGATTTGGAGAAGAATCAGCAAAAAGAGTGGCTGAAATGTCGAAAATAAGTCTTCCAGCAAATCCGATATGGTCATTTTCAAATTTTTCACTAAGTGAGGAAGCATCCCTGGAGTTAGATGCCTGGGATCTTAACGAGGCTGGATGGGACTAACTTTGAGAATGCTAACTTATTTCTACATAGGGCATACAGCATATTAGTTACTAACCTAAAAGACGGACACGCATAGCGTGTGACAAGGCTTAACATCTTAAAAAAAGATGAGAAAAATGGAAATAATTTTTCGTAATCCGTTTAAATATTCACAAATAATATTTTATTTTAAAATACACATACAATTAGGAGTTAATTTGTGCAAATGTTGTAAAAGCAAAACAACAAAATGTTCCTTGCCACATTCGGTTACGAATTACGTGAATCACATAAATGATCAAAACGGTCGTCGAGTAGTTTGCATCACAGAATATTACTGTTGGTTATTTAACATTTCTGTTGCAAAACAGCGGTCAAATAATAAATGTTTTCCTACTTACCTCACACTCTTTCACTGTTAAAGGGGTCATATGATACTGCTAAAAAGAACATTATTTTGTGTATTTGGTGTAATTAAATGTTTATGCGGTTTAAAGTAAAAAAAAAAAAAAGCACATTATTTTCCACATACTGTACATTATTGTTTCTCCTTTATGCCCCGCCTTTTTGAAACGCGTCAATTTTTACAAAGCTCATCGGTCTGAAAAAGCGAGGTGTCCTGTGATTGGCCAGCTATCCAATGCGTTGTGATTGGCCGAATACCTCAAGCGTGTGACGGCAATGTTATGCCCCTCACATACTGTTGATGCCATGTCGAGAACGGCGCACCCGGCGGATCCGACGAATGAGCGGCAACTACATGTGACAGACCCCGGGCTGGATTCCGCTTCGTCCACGGTGAAAGTTGATGTATTCCCTCAGCGACCAGCACGAATCAGCTCCAGGCATGACGAAGCGGATATCATCCTCTTTTGGAAGACCAAATAAAGTAGTTTCGCTTTCACAACGAAGCACACAGCATCTTCACGACATGGCTGCAGCGTCAACAAAACTACAGTGAGAATAAAAGTTACACCTTCTTTCTTTGTGTGAACATTTGGGGTGGCATTATGCAAATCTTCCCAAATAGTGAGGTAGATATGTGGGGGCGTGTTAGAACGAGGCATTTTAGGTAGGTGTGGCTGACTCTGAACTTTTATAAAGAATATCTCTTTGGATTTGAGACTTTAGTCTTTGCAACTTTACAGATCTTCTTTATGCACCAAGAGCTTGTAACACTCCAAAGAGAAAGGAAAATTTTAAATCGCATCATATGACCCCTTTAAAAAAAATGCCGTGGTGTTGCGCTGGAACAGTAAAGCCCCGCCCTTCTTTGATTTGATTGGCCATCTAAATCATTCTGACATTGACGAGCACTGTCTGCAGTATTTTTTATTAATTGTTTTATCATAAATAAATATCGAATTTGGCAGGGACATTTTTCTGCATGA